CCCCCCTTTTTTTTTTTCTTTTACATTTTAGAGGAAACAAGTCAGGCACCCAGAAAGTACCTCTCTGGATAATTGTGCATTTCCAAGCAGCTGGAACAGGGTCACATGAAAGCATAGACTAGGCTTGATTCCCTCCTTTACCAAACATATTGCTGGGCAAATTCAAGGAAATATCAGAGCTCCAAGACGTGTGCTTGCCCAAGGAAGTGACTGCACAATTCAGATTGTCTGCAACTGCCTCTTGTTTCTCTCTTCAGGAATCAGTTCCATTATAGCAATTGCAGAAGGAAACTAATGATTGCTATGGGTTAGGTGAGCAAGCATCAATGGGTAAATGACAGCCTGACTTAAGTGTTATTTTAACATCTGAGGTATTTTTGATTTAGGTCACAATTCACATAGGTGGAAGGCTACTGAAAAAGTGACATATGAATGGAGGAGGAGTTCTTACATGTACTACACCCAGACGATCATGAGCTGGGTGAAGAGAAGAAAAAGAAACAGGTAAGCAAGTTGGAATTCTCCTCAGCATAAGGCATGGCAACAACACCAAAACTATCAACACACTGCTCCATATTGCTAACAACAATAACCAATGAATTTTTAGTTACTGGCCACAGCCATTTTATCCCCCAAAATCAAAGCTGATTAACCCGTATGCAGAAAAAAATGGAAACCATATGGTATCAACTATTAATAATGTTCATATATATGAATCAAAACTCATCTGCAATATACTAGTTTTAGAGATTTATAAAGCCTTTCTCTTCTTTGAAGGTCTCACAAATCCTTTAGTAGCATAATTTATGGCCAGGCTGTTTTCACATGTATTTCTTCACGTTAACACTAGAGTCTAGGGTGATTAAAAGAATGGGTTAGGCCATAAAAATAACAATATAATCCAACATCGATGTATTTGATATTTAATTTTTAAAATCTGGGTAACTGCAACCCAACCCCTAACTCCTGATTAATTATTCATACACAGTATGATAATCTTGAAGTAAAGTCCTGAACATTCAGTTGTACAAAACCAGATATCCTCTGTCAGAAAACAGACAACATGACAAGTACCTCAGTAGTTTCTAACTACCTCACCCATGCTGTTCTACATGCACTGCCCTGATTTCCTCTATACTGTCACTATGGGACTGAGAATAGCCACAACAAGTTACAACTGATACCACGTTTTGAGAGACTTGATGTTTCTTCTTCTACTTATTTATTTTACTAACAGTTAAACATGTTAGTTCCTCATGCTTTCATTCACATCCCTGCCTAGCGGTTTTCAGTAGTGATTCCACTGGCACCTCATTTCTATTTCACAGTTTTTCTGGTTTCCAACGTATAACCAAACGGTCTTTTGTCCACTCTGCAGTTTGCACGACAGCTTTAAAACATGATAATCTCTCAGAGACACCTGCAGGTGGATGCATCTTCCTCAGAGCCTGCTCTGCAGCTCTGTAAGGTGCAGCACAGAACTCTCAATAGCTAAACTGGACACGCTGTCTCAAGCCTGAGTGAAGGGCTGCAATGGCCATCAATGCAGTGTGTAAAACAGTGAAGAGTCCACCTATAATATAATATATATAATATATATCATGTAACTAACACAGTGCCTGCTGTGGAAAACACAACATACACATTTTTATCTGTACAGAAGCCTTTTGTAGGCTCCCTTTGAGGAACTGGTTTTCAGTACTATATATCATAGTTTATATTGCATGCACAGAGAAGATGAAATTGCACAAGCCAAAATTAAAACCATGCATTCTAGAGTAGACAAGACAAATTTCAGAAGCTTCTTTGGGCCTTCATCTGACTCTCAGAGTTTGCAGTACTTAAGTGCTATATTCTGAGATCCTCCACAATTTTTATTTTCCCTAAAGCTTTCTATCTTGACTTGTCGAGGAACGAGTCAACTGCAGAACACCTTTCTTAAAACCAAGATCATTACAGCCACTTTGTCTGGCTGGAGACAAACATTCCATCCCTTGAGCTAGCTAATTTCCTCCAATACTTCCTACTGTATGGAAATTAGCCTACTAATTTCCTCTAACACTTATCAAAGTATTAATTCTGCAAGGCCCTTGTTGTATCTCTGGAGAAAAGTGTTTACTGTATGCAATCACTAGTGAGAGTGCAACAGTTTCTGAGCCTGAGCTCACAAACATCTTTGTAGCTGCAAGATTTGAGAAGATTAGCATAATGATTCAGCTTTTTGGAATTCAGAACTAAATCCAAAGAGTCTTTTTTATCTGAAAAAATATTTGGGGGAAATAATAAAGAAGTTTCCAGAAATATAAATTCATACTAATTTAAGTCTTGCTAGGCCATAAATTCTTGAGTAGACTTGTTATTAATAACAAGGACTGTTCTCACTGAAAAGAAAAAGGTATTCTAAGATTTACACGTATACTATTAATCAAAATGAGGGAAAGAGGGAAAATTATCAAACTGAAATTCAAAGAAGGCATTTTGAGCTGAGCATCTTGTATTTCCATGGAGTTAGCCTTTCATCTTGTTTTGGCAGCTGCAAAGTAAACACAAGACTTTGCTAATAAGGTATATTATAAATTATTAAACCATCTAGTATGTGATCAAATGCATTTCAGATTATTTTTTGCATAATTCTGCCTTGACAACTGCCAGGAGTAATATATTTTCTGTACTTTTGCACAGACCCACTGACTGCTGTCTTTCTGAAGCTCCAGTCACAGTCTTAAACTGCTGTGCATGAAAGAAGTACACAATCACATCAAAACCTAAGCTTTGGCATCTGTCGATCACAGCCTAGCTTTCTGTGAGATCTCACTTCATGTTAGTCAACAAAGACATGATAGCAACTCTTTAGCTCTGAGCTGAGGTTTTAATAGATTCAAAACATTCCTTACATGCAAATTTCTTTCATGGCTCAGGGGCACTGTTAGAGCTTGAAGTGTTAGCTAACTGCTGTGAAAAACTACTTGACTGAGCATATCTCAAAATAAATTTGACTTCTGAATCTTCTAGCTCAAGCAAGTATATCTTACACACTTGTACTACTGGGTTTAAAAATATGGACTTTTATATAATTACACACAAGTAGCCTATGTGACAAATGAGAAGAAAACATGTAAAAATATGCATTACATATCCTACTGTGCCATTTGAAACTGTGGGCTATTACACTTTGGAGGCATTTTTCAGATTTAAAAAACAAACAGTTACTGAAGGTCACACAAATTACACACTGGAAACACATGTATGTTGTTATATTTAATGGTTCCAGAAGACACATTTAGTTCTGAAGCTATTAAGAAAGCTCCCTTGATTTATTACTGTATTCTACTAGCCTCCTTCTGCAAATGTGGAACAATGATTACAAAGCAGAAAATGAACAGCTTTTTTTTTTTCCTAATGAAATTAGGAAATTTCCATAAGAAACACCCCTACCACCATGTATATACTCCCAGTAAATGCACAGTGCTTTGTCGTTCAGAGAAAATGCTGCCTAAAAGCATGCTTGCATCAAATGTTATCATCTGTATATCACTCCTAGGAACTCGCTGATTCCAAATTCCAACATTCATTACTGTGGTAGTTTTAAGAAATGGGAAACATTGAAAAAATAATTAAAGAAATCAGGCACTTCTGCAAAGGGAATTTTGTACTTTATTTTTTGTTGGTTTTTTTTTGGTTTTTATTTTTGGTGTGTGCATAAGTATGTGCATGTGTGCATATGTGTGTGGTGTGAGCATGTGTTTTAAGATATCACAGAAATAACTGAACCAGGATAAATACAAATTTAATATTAAATTCTCACTAAATTATCAATCTTGGTGATAATTAGGATTCTATTATCCCCAAGTCATTACCACTGGACTTTTAGCAGGAAAATAAATTAACCAAAGCACCATGCAAATGGCTGTCATTAATTGCTAAAACTATCTTTCTGTCTGTCAGAGGATCCCAGGCTAATTCAGACTGCACCTAACCCATCCTGCTGCTTAAAGAAGGATCAGGTATGGTCCAGCTTGCTGAGGGTCTTAACTAGTCAGGCCTTGAAAACCTCCAAGGTCAGAGACTGCACAGCCTCTGGACTGTTGTTCAACTACTTGATGGCATTCATGGCAAAAATTTTTCTCCTTCTATCCAGTCTGAACCTCTCCATTACAACTTATGCTTACTGTCTCTCCTCCCAGAAGCACCACTCTGAACAATGGAGTCTTCTGAATAGTCTTCCCATAGGAACTGGGGGTCTTCTGTTTAGTCCCCCTGAAGAGGCCCCTTTTCCAGATTTCAACACATCTA